AAAAATTATCACAGCACATACATAATTTTCTATATCTTTCACAGCTGCAGGGAGTTTTGATAGGAGGAAGCCAACTTTCTTACAATTGAACATCCCAATGGACCAAGAACCTGTGGATGGGTGCATCTGCTTGAAGCATGCACTGGAAGCAGAGATCCTCAGAAGATTCTCTGTCAGAATCTCAACCAGATTCAACTGGCAGCTTGCAGAGAGAAAGAGAAGCAAGATGCACAGAAAAAAGTTTTTCTATCACTAGACATGTATGAGTTTTATCTGCATGGAATAAAGACTAGATATCCAGGAGACATGCTGTCATTACTGATTTGGGGTCTTCCATCCTTCAGGCAGTAAGAAATAAACTTGGGTTTGTGTTTTAGCAAAATCTGTATTTCCCTGCAGCTTTCACAAGAAAGCTTATTCCTAAATACTAGGGAATTAGGAATTCCCATGAACCTAGAACTGGTGCAAAAGATAATTCTGTAACTATGCTATCTTTACTGTACTTAATAGAATCAGTGATGCTACTGCCTGTTGTGATACTGGAGAAGACAATATGATTACTTTCTTTCTGTAGTTTTGCAAATGGAGATTTCACTCTTTCTGCAATTCTTTCCCTTAGCAATGAAAGGAATCCACAGGACATCAGTGTCCTAAAAAGGCAGCAGTAATTTTACATAATTTTTGATTACAGAGAGTATTGCCTGAGGAAAGGCAAAAGGCTAATGGTCAACACATTTTCCTGGCATAAAAGAATCTCCAATAAAGTCCTTTATGTGTTTGGTTCAAATCAGACACAAATTCATGTCTTACATTTCACCAGAATACTTGGTACCTCAGGATATAAACTCTTCTGAAAACTATGGTTTTAAGGAGACAATATTTTCTGGAGAAGAATCATTTCACCTGAAAGTGACAAGATTTTTTTTTTTTTATATTTGCTTCATAGAGAAAGCAACTCATTAGCAAATCACAGTAGAAATCTTGTGTGATCATCAACAAAGTGTACTTAAACTAGCATGAAATAAATGCCAGTATTTCAGTAAGTCCTGTTTTCATGCAGATACAGTTCAAGCAAAATATCTGATCTTGGTAATAAATACAAAAAAGAAACCATAGCAAACACTGGTGACTGATTTTTTAAAATGTAGTTAAACCTTTGATAAAAAAATTAAAATACCGTGTCAAATTTGCACTAGAAATTGAGGTAAGTACTATAAATATCATTAATATAAGAATACCAACATGCAGAAATATTGAGAATGCCTTCTGTAATGGGGTTTGAATTGAATTAATAACATATTAATGTATCCAGTGATCACAACCAAGTTACTAAAGTAAATTTGAATGTGGCCTAGGATCTCTTAGTCTTCTCATTACAAAATATATTTGCTTTCCCAAGAGATTGTACGCAATACTTCTCTTCCAAAATAAATATTATCAGTCATTCATAGTCCCTTAATTCAGCAGGGTAAATAACTATAACCTTGTTTCATGGTACACAGACCTTTCACAGAATCTAGTCCAAAGCAATGAAAAGGAGGACAGTCACTTCATTAGATATATTTCTTTCTCCATTCACGAAGACAGTGTAAGAGTAAACACACAAAAAACTTAACCCTGGCTGAGGGCACTCAGGTATCATTGGTAAAGGTTGTAGCAGAATCTGTACTGAAGAGTTTCATCATGAGGCCTTCTAGAATTATGTTCCTCTAGTTCTTCAGTTTGACGTGTATGAGAAAGTAGTGTTGCAATGTTTCATGATTCTGAAGCTATTTACTGTATTGTCTGTACAGAAGAGCTCCACTTAGCAAGTGGGTCACACAACACTAAGCACTGGAAGAAGACTTCAGATGTAGTGTCAAACTCCAAGCTCTGCAGTCTGATTTGAACTTAAATCCTTTAATTTCACTGCTCTTTATCAATATAAGGATCTTTAACATTAAGGAAAATCAAGTCTTTTTCTAGTCTGGGATTAAATCTAATTATTGGCTGACAGCTAAAAGCAGTGAGCACTTCAACAGGTATCTCCTTTGGAAGCAAAGGTGCTGGTGATTGCCCTGAGAGGCTTCTACCCCAAGGTCAAGGCTGAGCAGGTGCTCTGTGATGTCCTGGTGGGTGGCAGGTACCCTTGCAATGGGGGCACTGAACCTGCTGGAATATACAGGGCTTTCAACTCTTGGAAATGGCTTAGAAAAATCATGCAAAGAAAACAATGGATGAGGACCATGTGATGCTCTCCAGAAAAATATTTGATAAACTAAAAGCATGGTTGTGTGGGTAATGGATGTGTCTGAGCTTCACCTGACTGCAGTTGGGCAAATATTCTTCTCCTAAGCACATACTTACTGGACACTATCAGAAACAGGAGACAGCACTAGACTGTCTAGAGCACTAGAGCTATTGATCAACAAATATGGCAACTCTTACATTCTCATAAAGCTCAAACAGCTAATATACTCGATCACTAGCTTTAATAATCAGAAATTGTAATACTGGGATCTAGAGAAAAACTTGGGTGTTATAAATAAGGCTATTACACAGGGATATGTGTTAATTATTGGCACCATAGTAAAATCCCTATGCTGCTATCTCAGTTATTTCTGCAGTAACTTATCCACTTTCCAGCAGTGACAACCTGTAATGATGGATGAGGAAGAAGGTCCTGAACTTAAATGGAAAGAAATAATAAATAAGTGACAAAAATAAGAGCATCTGTACTTGTCCAGTACTATATTGTCTTCATTTCTTCTCCCTTGCCACATTTCCACTGACACGAGGAGGTAATTTACTATGCCAAGGAAATTCATGTCTGCCTGTGCTGAATTACTGCATTCATATTTCTACTTGTTTGTAGCGAACTAAACTCGTAAGTCCAGATATGTAGATGAGTCATACAGGCTGTCTTTCATTTTACAAGGCATCTTTAAATACCACTCTTATTTAACTTGTACTCATTACCATCAGCAAGCAATGTGTGTGCCATACTATCCTAATTGCCAGAAATTTGAGCAAGTAAATCATTAAAAGGTTAAGTTATTTTTCATGCTAAATTTAATGTACAGTATTAATCAACTTTATTTCATTATTATGAGTAATGCAACATCCTATAGTCAAATCGATTTATAATTATGCCAGATCACATGGCAGGGGGGGAACAAGAACAACAAACAACAGACGGATGTCATTTCTGCTTAAATTCTCCATGTAAATTACAAACTGTTAAGTCAGACAGGGCTTTCTTTGCAGAGCACAACATCCAGATGGAATCTCACCAGCAGAACAAGAACTGAGACACATCTTTGTCTCAACATTTTAAAAACAAAGAAGAAGCCAAATGTCTTGCAAGCATCACCCAGTCTGCTTTATATTTCCCTATTTGATCCTTAGGTCTGCTTTTTGGTATTATTTCTGAATAGAAATCTTTGAGACAACAGTGAAACAAAGCCATGTTGGCAAAAGATGAGGCACGCATGAGACAATTTAATGACTTGCTGACATAAACACCATAGGATGGATCTTTTTGTCCAACACGGACATCTACAGAGGTAAACCTGAGATACATTTCTGATGAGTAGTGTGCATTAGGCACAGAGCATCCTTCCAGTTCCTCCAAAACGCAGTTCTGTACATAAGAAGCATCTCTTTCATGTGCTACTTATTCCAGAATATTTTATTCTAGTTTAATCCTGCTGAGTATCACAGTGCCAGTGGTAAATCCATAGTCCTTAACATATACTAACATAAACTACAACCTGTCATCTCCCTGAAGCTGAGAAAACAAGCTCTTGGATACCTCTTCCAAAATAAATGACAGAGCTGAGTTATCCCTGTAATTTGGAGATACAAGGAGGTACAACATTATACATGGGTAGTTAAATATACTTCTTAGCAATATGAAATGAGTGGGAAATATTTGATTGCTCATCAATTAGTCAGAAAACTCTAACTGCTCTAAACCTATCTCTGACAACTCTATTGCAGATGCAAGTTGATCTAATTTGGTTCATCACAATGATTTTGATTCAAAGCGAGGTTTCCATTTATTTTTTCTGATAGATTGCTTAGCATTAAAAGATGCTCTTAAGAATTGCTTGCAAGTCTGCTTTCATGTTGGTGCAGTGAAGGTAGCTTCCTAGGCACATTCGCATTCACCTTGCCTCTGCCTTGGATGCATTAGCTGTTGTTGAGAGTTATAGTGCTTATTTAGGGAGAAGAATAAAAGGTTACTTTAGAATAGCTATACAGGTATAAACTATTCTGTATATTCTATTATACAAGTCTCATTATTCAAGCATAAGTTTTCTGTGGAAAAAACACCCAAACACATGCATATTCCAAAGACTCATCTCCAAAATAGCTTTGGCAACTGCCCTTTATCTCATGATGTATTTTGAAATGGCAGCTGTTGGCAGGAGAGATAGATGTCATATTTTTATCCTCATAGCCATAAGTCATAGACTTTGTTCTTTGCATCACCAGAAATCAACCTTTTAGGCTGTTCCAGATCACAAAACTTACAATTGGTAAGTACATTATAGATACACACTATCAAGATAAGGTAGAAAATACCTTTCTTTGTATTATTTTATGTTTTACATTGTAAAATATTATGGGAAAATGCAATGAAGCAGAAATACATAAGGCAAACAAAATTTATTTATATTGCAAACATATGTGGATCATTCATCATTCATTCTCAGAAGGTTAGCTATGTTTGAAAGCTGTGGCAGATATCATCATGAAATATCTGTTTCAGAACACTTTTCTGACAAAGTATCTTAGGTCAAGTGGAACACGCACATGTGTGGTTGCATGGCTTATTGTTAAATGTAAAATTACGTTTACATTTATGATTAAACCCAGAAAATATACTTTCAGGAAACACTGGAATCAGTGATTTTGGTGAGATATTAAGCTAACACCTTGACAAAAATAGTAATCAAGTCATAAGATGGGGGAGAAAAGTGCTGTCAAGAAAATTGGTGAAAAGACATATTTACCTTGTGCAACTGATAGTATTGCTTGGCACCTACTCCTCCTTGCTCTTCTGCTGTCCATAGCACCAAGCGCAGTGTTCTTTTTGGACGAAGTCCTAAAACACAGGTTTTAATACTGCTTTTAGTATTAAATACAGATATATTTTGAGCACTTTTTGCATTGATCTCCAGCCTGCAATAAATGAAAAACCTGTATTTCCAGAAACCAAACCCAACCTGTATCAAGTGTGGGTTTTTCTGTGAAAGACTGGGGTTTGGGGAGAGAGCCCACATGAGGAAGGAGTGGGCAGTTGAGGTGCTGCTGCCAGTTGCAGTAGCACAAGAGAAGCACATTTCAGGGACATACTGAAAGTGTCTGAAAACCACACCAGAAAGTAACTACCTTGATAGATTTCTGAAACATGTGCTGCTGTCATTGTGGTGGTCTGCAATAAGTAATACATATCCGCTCATAGCAGATCCAAATGAAATTTTCATGAAAACTACCATTGCTTTGTCATGGTTAATTTATCACTATTAATTGAAAATGAGCTGCTGGATTTTTATGAGAAATATTTATCCATTTCAAGAACTGAGGGGCTATGTAATATCATTTTGCTTTTTATCAGAGAAATGAAAAGCAGCAATCTGTAATTTGGAATCTGAAAGAGTCAGCTGCTAAATGTATGCATGACTTTCTGAAACAAGGCAAACATGCAGCCATTTTCTATTTTGCTATGGTAGCTCAATCAGAAAGATAAGTTCTCAGATAAATTTTGAAGCCATTTTTGCCGTGGCAGAACTGATCAGATAGAAGTTGCTTCCCTCTATTTATTTGGTTGTTTCTATTCATAAATTAATACATTGAGAGAAACTTCAGAGCATGGAAGAGCAAACAGATAAAGAAAAAAACTATTCTCTGTGCAGTGGAATGCTAATTATGTTAGAGAAAAAAATAAAGAAAAAACATGAGGAGATTATCACAAGTGATAAAGTACCACACACACCTTTGTGCTGAAGAGAAATAATATCAGTATCACTGTCAAAACTTATTTCATTTCCTAACTGAAATAGATGAAGACTGCCAATAGACTTGACCTTCATTAATTTTCTTTGGACACAATGAATATGATCTGCACATTTCTTCTCAAAACTAGCAATCATCCAAACTGAAGGCAGAATATAGAAAAAATATCCCAAATCTGAACAAAAGAGCTTGGATTTTCCAATATCTCATAAAGAAGCACAAACAATTTTAAAGGTGTATTTTCTGAATGTTGATCTGTTGACTGTAAACAGAAAGGTTGTCAAACTTCATTACTTTAAAAACAACCTTCTGCACACCTCCCAGTAGATTCCCTGCTCTCCTAAATCACAACAGTAAAGGATTAGCCTCCTTTGCTTTTCAAATTAGTCAGATGGCTTATGAGGTAAAATTGAGATAATAAAATAGCTCTCATTTGGAAGTCAGAAAGATTGAAGCCCAAAATAACTCAAAGTATGTCAGCAGCTTGGTTAGAAGAGGTGTCTGTAAAAAAGAAGAAGTGCTGGTATGAGACATAGAGGCCAGTGTTGTAGTATGGTTCCAGCAGCCCTGCAGTTTAAGTGGAAAAAGGAGGTTTATTGGTCATATCACAAAATGCAAAGTGAAGTCCAATCTCCAGCCCACCATGCCAAGCCTGTGAGCCTAACTTTGGTAGGAAATGCTTAAGACAGGGAAGCAGCATCTCCTGGCTCCTCCCAGACAAAAATCAAGCTATTTTAGCCTGCTACTGCTGCCCTAAGGGGGACTTGGGCCAGTGCTCAGGGCGTCCTCATGGCTGGCTCAGATGGGCTGTAACCTCAGCTCCTGCTCTCCAGGAGCTGGAGATGATCTCAGCTCACTTGTGAAGAAGACATTTGAGATTCTTATGGTCCCCTCCCCGCCCATCATTATATCTTCCCATTGAAGCTGGGGAAATAAAAAAGCCTTGCTGAGCTTTGGTCTTTCCAATCTGGGGTGTGGTGTATCAGCTCTTCATATCTCATGGATTCCTGTCAGCAAATTCATTTGTGTGTTCTACTGAAATTAAATGGGCAACTTGAAAAAAATAAAAATACATAAGATATGGAGGCAGTTATTTTAAATACAAACAAAGTCTACAGAGGAAAATTTAATTTCCTCATTATCTTAATCTGAAAGCAATAACTATTTATCTACCTGTTATTAAAAACAGAGCTGATCTGACCAAAGAACAGCAAACAAATCCAGTATCCAGAAGTAAAATTGCTGAGAATATTCTCAATGCATGTTTTTATTAGAAAAGAAAAAAAGGAGGATTGTATTCAAGTTACAAAAGTTTTTCAAAGTAAGTTCAACTACTTTGGTTTGCTTCTTAAAAACTACTGGTTCCTAAGTAAGGTATAATCTTCACAAAATCAAAAGTCTTTCAGATCTCAGCCCAAATATATATTGAGAAGACAGAATAAAATAACAATTGGGCTAGGAAACTGTTTTATGATGGGTGCAACATATAGAGGGGTGGGTAGGCAATTTTAAAATTAAGGAAAACTGTTGCACAAATAAAATTGTGCCTCTTTTCTCGTTATCTGAACAAATGACTTATTACATAGTATTAAAACTAAAGAGGCTATCAGAAGAAAAAAACCTACAGATGAATTTCCAACCTCCAATGTTTTAGAAAAATGTATTATCTTTTTTTTCTCCCTCCTACCTTGCCCTTAACTGAAATAAAATCATAGCTTACCACAATGATGAGTTTTGCTGATCAGCCTCTATATTCTTATGGTTTATCTCAAGCATAAAAGATACTGTGGGCATGTGGAATCACATGTTAAAGAATGAAATAAAAACATCGATATGGTCGATCTGTGACTAAGGATACATCTGTAGCAAGCACAGCAGGACACCTGCTCTATTACACTCCCTCTGTGCTGCAGTGGCTGCTCTCCTTTCCTCCTCCTTGGGAACCACAAACACTTCTGCCATACCAATGTGCCAGGCTTATTGACTCTATTTTCTGTTTCTTTTAAATCATCATAGATTGCCCACATTCATAGATAACAGCAGCAAGACTTGAATTTTATGTCCTACATGTCTTGCTCATGCTTGACAGAACTGAGACATTCCCACATAGCAAAACTGAAATATAATGTTTTGTACATGTGGAGACAAATCATAATGGCCTGTCACATTGCCTGTAAAGCAAAAAAATAAACCCACTTCATTCTCAATATAGCCTACAAGTCAGGAAGGAGAACTTGAATCATCTTTTTAAAATCAAAATAGAGATCATCACTATAAACGCAAAATTTCCTTCAGTAATTATTTTCCCACTTTATAACCATAAATCCTTACTGATGGGGAAGATCACAAAGATAAAATATTTTCTAAGAAGATAGTGTGTAGATGGCTAACAGGCTTCTTCAATATCATTTTAAGATTGACCAGCTTACAAAACTATAAAAAGCATTCCACCTTTGTAAAAAGGGATTTCCCTGCAAATCAAGGCACTGGGATCACACACAAGCAAATCCATCAGCTGTTCAGCTTATATGAGGCATACAAGCAAACTGCAAATGGATGTGAGTAGATTAACAGGCGTCAAGGTTTGACCTCAGCTGGCAGCCAAGCCCCTCACAGCTGCTTGCTCACTCCCACACCAATGGGACAAGGGAGAAAATCAGGATAAAAGCTAAAAAACTTGTGTGTTGAGATAAAGACAATTTAATAGGGAAATCAAAAGCTGTACACACAAGCAAAGCAAAACAAGGAAGAAATGCATTCCTAACACCCTGCATAAATGGCCTAGAAAAGCCTTGATCTGAGCATAAAGGAGAACAAATTGCACTGCCAGTAGAGGGAGGTGATTCTGCCCCTCTAGTTCCCCTGGTGAGACCTCACCTGGAGTACTGCATCCAGCCCTGAACTCCTCAGCACAGGGAAGACATGGACATGTTTAAGTGACTCCAGGGGAGGGCCACAAAGAGGATCAGATGGATGGAACTTCTCTCCTATGAGGAAAGGCTGAGAGGAGAGAAGGGTCCAGGGAGCCCTTAGAGGAGCCTTCCAGTAACTGAAAGGAATCAACAAGAAATGGGGACAGACTTCTTAGCAGGGCCTGTGGCAATAAGGACAGGGAACAATGTTTTTAAACTAAAGGAGGGTAGATCCAGATTAGATCTAAGGAAGGTTGCTTTTTACAATGAGGGACATGAAACACTGACACAGGTTGCCCAGAGAGATTGTAGATGCCCCATCCCTGGAGAAATTCAAGGTCAGATGCAACACGGCTCTGAGCAACCTCATCAAGTTGAAGCAATTCCTGCTCATTACAAGGGGCTTGGACTAAATGACCTTTAATGATGTTTTTCAACCCAAACTATTCTCTATGTTCTCTTACTCCCTAAGTCACTAATGTACTTGCTTTAGGAGCTACTAGGGAGGTATATACAGATCCTTAAGTACTGTCCTCTGCTGTGCTGAACATACATAAGCTATGGCCTTTTCTGCATTGTTACCCTGTAGCTTGGAATTTCTTTAAAAGATACTTATACAAAAATATTTATAACTATTTATACCAAAAAAATCAAGATACATAATGATGTTGCTGAGATTCCTTAAATTCTTATTATACTCCCTACCTTTTTCAAGTTTGGAGCTGATTAGACATAGGGGATTTACTGGGTGTCATCAGATGGGATATTTCTATCATGCATACACTTCTCATAAAATACCTAGAATTTCCATTTCTGCCACCACATAAAATAAAAATAAAACCAGTACTCCACATTTTTCTAAAGAAGATAAGAATTCATCATCAAAAACAGTGGTACAATCTGCTAATACCTGATTTATGTATCCTGTGGTATGGGCAAGGATGAGAAAAAGCTCTTACTGCTAGCAACCTGTTTCCCTGCCTAATTTCAAAGAACATACATGCAGAAATGAGCTGTAATCAATAGGATTATAGTAATAACACAGTTAATTGACGATGTCCAGACTTTTCCTCTGAAGACTTAGAAGAAGTCTATATTCTAAACCAGAAGGACTTTGGCTTTCACTCTTGTTAGAAACACAGTGCTCTGTGGTTCAAACAATTGATCTCACTATTGG